CCCTGTGCACAGGGATGCACGGGGGGGGTGCGTGGAGCTGCGGAGGATGCCTGGAGTTGCACCGTGTGCAGGGATTCCCAAGGGGATACACAGAGCTCCAGAACTGGGCTGTTCTTCAGCCATGTGCTGCATTACCCAGGACCTTGCCCACCTTTGGGAAACCACCATACTAAGTAGCCAGTTGTCACCAGCACCCACAAGCCACCAGCCACGGGCAACAGGTCCATGCTGGAGCCCTGCCAGGACAGGCACAGGCTCTCCAAGAGACCCAAAGCTGCCGAAAGGTGCAGCAGAACCACCGGCACGTTTGACCTGTCACTTAAAGTGTCTGCAAGAGCAGGGGGCCGGGACCATGGCTGGGGACAGGGGGTTGCAGCCAGCCCAGCCCGATGGTGCAGGAGGATCTTGTGACAGGGAGCGATAAGGCGGCGGCTGGAACGCACTGGCCGTAAACACGAGCTACAACGTGCCCAGGGGAACAGGTAAACAAGCCTGGGGCAGGAATTTGCTTCCAGTTACTTATTGTCCTTGGAGGTGCTGTGGCTGCTCTGGGCACAGCAGCCTGGTGCTTGGGACACACACGGCACAGGGAGCTGCGGGGGGAACAAGAGCTCTGCGTGAGAATGAAGCAGGATCAGCCCTTGCTCCAGCCTGTTTGCATATCCTGGGAAYGAGGCAGGGAACACTGACCCTTCCTGAGCACAGCAGGGAATCGTGCAAGAGACAGTGCAGCTGAAGTGCACCTGAATCCTAGTGCACCTGAAATTGCTGCAACRCAATGATGCAGACCCAAGGCCTGTGAAACCAGCTGGTGCCACTCGCGAGCTCCAAGCCAGGTCTGAAGGGCTAGTGGCACCACCAGGACAACCATTTATTGCCTTTTTTGCATTTATTCCCTTGACACCGGGCTGCAGGTATGGGACGACTGCCCCCTTTTTCTCGTGAATAGATGAAACAGGAGCCTGGAGGCAGGAGGAAGCTCTGTGGCAATACTGTCTTTGCGCAGGAGTGGGACTCAGTCACAGGCTTAAGTGATCAACTGGAAAAAGACAGGGAATGAGAAATGGCCACATGTTCCCTGCAAACCTGGCTCGCAGGGAAACATGCCCCACGGACAGCACAGCCGAGCAGGACACAGGCACTGTGCACTGGGCCTGGCATCATGCAGGGCTAATGGGAAGGCCCATCTGCATGTGGCAGCCTCTTCCTCCTCCTTCTCCTCCTGCACGTTTCCCTCCAGCAGCAGGATCTGGGGCACCCTTCCCATGTGGAGGAGGGCTGGAGAGTTCAGTCGAACCCGAATCCAAGTGCTACTTACCACTGTGCACACGCAGCCCCCAGCACGCAGCGGGAGGCCAGCACTGCCCGGGCTGGGTGCTGCTGTTGGTAACGCTTGCCCGAGGGGTGCCTGCGGGACGGTCTCTTCCTCCACCAGCTTCTCCATGTCAGCGTTTCTCATGATGGAAACTGCAGGAAGAGGGAGGATTGGAGCCTTTTGAGCTGCCCTGTCCRGCCCACACGGGCTGCCAGCAGTGTGCCCCAGCTGCTCCCTGCCCCTGGGGGATACTCCTCCGGGATGGGAATGAGCGCCCAGGCAGCCCCCAGCTGCAGCTGTGCCACGAGCTCCCACCATCGGGGTGCGTGGGAGGCGGTCGCAACAGGAGCTTTTGCTGGATGGTCCCGGCGCGGCTCCTGGAGCGCTGAGGAAGTGCCAGGGCCCCGCGGGGGACGTCCTCCGCATGGGCAGGGGCCCTGTCTGCACCAGCTCTCCCAGGGGCCCTGCTCAGCAAAACTGTGTGACCAGCAGCTCCGAGGGCGCWGGCAGCCAGTGCCAGGCCTGGCCCTTCCGTGGGTGCCCGCGGGGCTGAGGGCAGCACTCAGCGGCGCCCTCGTCCCTGCCAGGCCCTGGGGAGGCCAGCGCGCTGYGCACAAAGGCAGGATATTGCACCACTGGCCGCTGTTGCTCCACAGGAACCACCACAAACGAGCAGAGCTGCAAGGGGGAAGGACTGGGAGCGAGTCGGGCCAGAGCAGCAGCCCCAGGTGTCCCCCGACACGGCTGCACCCGGCGGCTCTGCAGCAATGAGGGCCACACGGGCGCTGGCACAGCTTGGGGTGCCGGTGCCGCAGGGGGAGAAGCTGAGGCCAGGGCTGCTGGAAGCTGCACCCTTCCCCACCTGCTGCTCCCTGCATGAGGCCACGGTGCCTGAGGGACCGGACGGGCAGGTCCTGCCGCTCGCTCCCGGTGGGAGCTGCCTCTCCTCCTCCTCGGAGCCGGTGCTGCCACCGCAGCGGCCGCRCGCTGGCTCCGCTGCAAGCCCCGAGCCTCCATTTCACTGCCCCCGCCAGCCCTGTGCTGCCCGCGCTCTGCTCCACGACACCTACACACAGCAATGCTGAGGATGGAGAGGGAGGAAGGCCACACACATGGGGAATCCTCTCYGACACCCCCAAAATGGATGAACACACCCCCAACGGCATGAGGGAGCCGGAGAGCCCAAGTACCCTCCTGTGCTCCCTGATGGGGTGAGGAGGCCGCTGCTCCCCTGCCCRTTTTATTCTGGGTAAAATTCGCTCTGGAAAAGCTGAGCCTGGAGCCATTCACCATTTTAATTCAGAGATACCAGGCAAAGAAGCAGGGGCAGCAAGAAGGGATCCTTCAGCTCTGAGCGCCCTGCCTTGCTGGCTCTCAGGGCTCTCTGCTGTCTCCATTTGTACCCTCATTATCACCGTGGGTTTAAATCTTGTTACCCAGGTGCAAAAAGTAGAGCAAGGGGAGCTCTGAAGTCGGACGACACCAGAGAATATCCCAGGAGTCACTCCCAGACTTGATTCCAGCCTGGTAAAGAGGCAGCAACTTCCTCGGAGGTCTCTGCCAGAGGAGGCAGTTGCGAGGCTGCCCGTTTACACACGGAAACATGTTTGCCTTCAAATCTTCCACTCGCCAGAGCAGCTCATCCAAAGTCCACCTGCTCCTGGGTTTATTATTCCGCAGARCCACTCGCCCGCTCCCCGCGTCCCCCTCCCCGGCGCTGTCACTCCCTGAGTTTGCCCAGGTCCTTGCAGAACAACAAGGTTCAGGAGCCCCGGAGGCTGCACACGGAGCTATTTCTGACCAGAAGGAGTGGCGAGCCCATGAACTTTGCCTCCCTAAACGCTGCCCTGCTCCAAAGGGCTTGGAAGCCTCCCGGAGAGCCCTGTGGGGCTGCGGCCAGCCCTTCCCCCTTCAGATATAAACGGGAAGGCTTCTGAAAATGCATTCCAATAATCCTCTCAAATTCAAATGATCTTCTGGGACATTTGTTTTCCCATCTATATTAACACCTTGCTGGCTACACATCCCCCTGTTAGCGCTTTCCTCTTGGGATCTCCTCGATCCCTGATAAAAGGTCTGAATCCTGCACGGATGTGACCTCCCTCTAATTTGGGCAGCAACAAACATGGAAGGAAGAAAATCCTCATTGAGCACTGGGCTCCCCTGTGACCTTGAACAGTGAGCACTTTGCATCATTGCAGCTACCCGTGGTCAGTTTTGGACCATCCTGAGGCAATTTGTACGTGAGTGGTGAAGACCACATTATCGCTCAGGTCAGACATGGCCCGTGTGGGCTCTCCAGCCATCCTTACCGGCACAGAAACACCCACAGCCACGCGCAAAGCGCAGGCGAGCGACGGTGGCATCGGAGAACACGTCTCGCTGGGAGATGAAGCCCAAACCAGCCACGAATCGCAGGAAAGGGCCTGGGACCATTCAGGAAAGGTGGAGGCCCGGGGGCCTCRGCGTGCCCTGCACTGTTCCGTCATCCTGCTCCACCTTTGCTGTGTTCCCCTTGCTGAATGATCTCCCTGCGCTGCGAAGCGAAGGTCCGTGCCTGCGTATCGCTTCCTGGCCCTTGGCAACACCATYGTCCCCAGGCCGGCCGCCTGCTTCCCCCTGCTATGGCAATGCCCCACGCTCAAAAGAGCCTTTCATGCCACCAGGAGCCCCAGGCACCTTCCAGAACCTTCCCCCGCCACAGCCTCTCCTTTGACATCCCAACAATTATGTAAATGGCCCCAGAACGTGCCGGAGCGAGGGGAGGGATGGAAACAGGCCTGCGGAGGCCTTATGCAACTCCCCATCTTTTATTAGCGCTTGCCAGGGGGCAACACAGGSACCCAGGCCACACCGCCTGCCCAAGGCGCCTCCAGCACCACTGGGCAGCCRCAGCCCCACACCAAGGGGGCTACASCCCCCRGARGAGCCACTTKGGGAACYCCGGTTAAATATTAGCCGGGGCGCGGGCAGCCGCCAGGGCCAAAGGGCGATGGCGGCGGGGCGGGGCGGGGGGAGGAGCGGCCGTTGCGGGGGGCGCGCGGCCGTTASCGCGGCCGTTAGAGCCGCCCTGCGCATGCGCGCGCCCCGCGGCCGCTCCCCGCACGTCAACAGGAAACCGCACGCGGCCGACTGTAAACAGCGCGAGCCCCCCCCCGCGCCCCCTCCCCGCGCCCACGTGACGCGCCCCGCCCCGGCCCGGCCCGCCCCCGCCTCCCGCTCATTGGGGGCAGCAGCGATGTTGACCATATATGGTCAGGTACTACCACACTGCCGGCGGCGATTGGCTCTGCGTGCGAGTCACTCAGCGCGCGTCAGCGCCAGACACCGTAATGCAAACAAAGCGAGGGCTGCCGGGAGCTGTAGTCCCCGCGGCGGGGGCTCACGGGGGGGCGGCGCGGGCGGCGGCGCGGGCGGGAACTACAGCTCCCAGCGGCGCCGCGCGGCGCGGCCCGCCCCGCCCTCCCCGCGCGGCCGTCGGCGGGGCTCGCCGGGCGCCGTGAGTCAGTGGCCAGTAAACATTGGCGTGAGCCGCGGCGGGCCCGCGATGGTGGCGGCGCCGTGAGGGGCGGGCGGCGGCGAGCGCGGCGCGGCCGCGGCGCGACCATGGACGAGCTCAAGCACCAGGTGATGATCAACCAGTTCGTGCTGACGGCGGGCTGCGCCGCCGACCAGGCCAAGCAGCTGCTGCAGGCGGCGCACTGGCAGTTCGAGGTGAGGCCGCCGCGGGGAGCTGCCCCGGCCGCCGGGCACAGGCGCGGCCGCGGTCGCGCGGGGCGCTCCGCGGGCACGTGCGCCGCGCGTGGGCCCGGAGCGGGAGCCCCGGCGCGGCGCGAGTTGCTGCCGCCCCGAGCGAGGGCCGCGGCGCTCGGCGGTGGGCGGCCTCGCATCCCGGCCCGGCTCCCGCGGAGAGAAACCCCCGCGCGGGGCCTTGGCCCGGCCGCGCCGCCCGCGGAGAGCTGCATTCCTCAGGCAGCGGCGCGAGGGGAGACTCCGTAGGTCAGAGCTGCTCCCGGTGCCTTTCCCTCCTGCGGCATCTCGGCAGCATCCGTGGGGAGCRCATCGGCTTGGGCCGCAAAGCGCCGGGAGCGGAGCGGGGATTGCGGCAGCTGGAGCAAAGCTCTTTCCAAAGAGGATTTTTTTTTTTTCCTGCTTATGCAGCCCCGGCAGCCCTGCAGTGTGGAGCTGATGGATTTGACGCTAATGGCACCTTTATAATTGAAGTGGCTGTTTTGTGATGCAGAGGGAGGTGTGAGTCAGTGGGAGAGCAGGGGATGGGGACGGGGACGCTGCTCCTCAGGTGTCTCGGGCCYCTCTCGCTCAGCGTGCGGCCCTGAGCCCCCGCCGCGGCTGCCGGGCGGCCCTTAGGGCTCGTGCTGTAACGTGGCGCCCGTCAGACGGATCAGAGCTGGCGGCRGCTCCTTGCGATGCGGCCGGCTGCRGCCACGAGCTTGGATGCTCAGCCGGAGGCCGGCGTTCAAAGCCAAGCCGGGCACGGCCGAGGAGCTGCGACCGCGCCGGGACCCTGCGCGGCCCTTCCCGTCCCTCCGTGCCCGGATCAACACCCCGCTGTYCAACGGCACCTTCTGCTGACGGCCCTCGGGTCACACACGTCCTGTGTGTGACGCTCCCCGCTGTACGTTTGCTASCGCAGCCTCATGCCAGCTCTCAGGACTGCTGAAACCCACTTCCAACACCTCTGTGCGTGTCGTGAAAGAGCCGGGAAGGGGCGACCCAAGTCGCTCCCCTTCCCCAAGGCGTTTCGCAGAACTTTGCCACCGTTTGGCGAGTTGCACAAGTACAAAGAGCCGTCGTCGCCTGCCGGTTTGGCGCTCACATGACTCAGAGGAAGCTGGGCTGTAAACAAACGCGCTGCGATGAGCGGTTACCATGTTCCCACTCACTTTCGGTGAAACGGTCAGATAATTCCCTCTGCAAAATGGCCGCTGGGCACGGCGGCTTCGGCGGGGGCTGCCTCCCGCCCCCGGGCGCCCTCATCCCTCCTTCCCGGCTGGGATACTTACTGGCTTTTCCCAGCTGGAGCACCGGAGCCGTTTGTTGCCTGGCCTGGCTCAGGGGGTGCCAACTGGTGGCGCTCAGGCGGGTTCRGTTCTGCTTTAGCCGCTTGCAGCCCCCCTGGTTCCGAGCTGCTCCCAGGACGCAGGTTCCTCCCGCTCCATGAGGACAGGGGTTCCTCAGCCCCGAACGTGCCATGGGGCTGCTGTCCCCCCCGGCGCCGCAGCTGGGCCGAGACCGTGGGAGCGTCGCCCCCGGCGCTGCCCCTCTCTCGGGGCACCAGCCTTTTGCTGTGCGCCTGCTCCCTGCTTGTGCCAGGGCTGCCCGGAGCCAGGGAACGGGCATGAGGAGGAGGGAGGTTGTGTCCGTGGCAGGTGAAAGGTTTATTTGGGAGCCCCCACGTTTGCCCTGTGTTCTTGGGGCTTTGCAGCCAGCCTCTGGGCTCTCCCTTTCCTAATCCCTCCGTGAATTCCTGGCCCTGCTGTTCCCTCTGGGCAGCTCGGGTGCAGGAGAGCCACCCCGCAGCGTAAYGCTCTAGGGGCCAAGCAGCCGCTGCCCTTGCGTGAGCAGAGCTCTCCCCCTTCRGAGCTACCTTCTTTTTGAGTGAAATTCGGGCAGTTTTTGGGCTGGGGGGCCGCAGACTTTGTGAGCCGCGTTCCCAGGCGCCGGGGGGCTGAGGAGGAGGCTGCCGTGCGGGCAGCGGGAGGCTCTGCCCCGCACGGAGCGTCCCGGCAGCAGGATCCGGAGCAGGGCAGGAGGCCGGGAAGCCACTCAAGCTGCACAGAGCAGCGCATGTGCCAGGTTCCCAGGCTCGCCAGGAGCGCCCGTGCTTTGGCAGAAACGTCCCCTTRTCCCCCGGGAGCGGGGGAGCTCCTGCACTCTCACTTGCACTCGCTGCCGCCTCGCTCCGGGGTCGCAGGGAGCCGGGATGGGCGCAGTCGCTGGAGCTGGCGGCCGTGGCGGCGCCGGGAGCCTCGTGGGGCCGGGCCGAGGCGGTGCCGGCGGGAACCCGGTGCCAGCGGGAACRGCGCTGCCAGCACAGCCTGCTGGCAGGCGGCCACCGCGGGTCCGAGCGGGACGTTTACGGGCAAGGAGGCAGCTCTGGGCGGCTCCGGGGGAAGGCTGCCGTGGAGCCTCCCGGACCGCAGGTGCCGGTGCTTCTGGAGCAGCTGGGAAGCCGGCGGGGACRCGGATTCGCGTGTGCTGGGGCTGAGGTCAGGGCTGGGCTGTGCACGGGAGCGCTCGGCATGCACTCCGTCCCGCACGCTGGYCTCGTTCCGTGCAGCACCCAGCTCTGGTGCCGCCAGGCTCTCTGCGCACTGCCCACCCTGCGCCTCCGTCCCCACGGGCCCCGTCCGCTGCTCCAGCAGGGCCTCGAGGGCTGCCCCTTTGCAGACGTTGTCGCCCCACTCTCCTCCCGGTGCCTTTCATGGCAGGGAGAGAACCGCAGCCGCCCGCATGTGGCCTCTCAGTTTGGGAGCCCACGGCAGGGGCCGGGGAGCCCGCTGTGCCCTGCGGGAGCGCAGCCCACTGCCCGCGGCCTCCAGCTGCCGCTGCTGGAGCCGCGCGAGGCCGAGCAGCGCAGCAGGCTCCTTGGCGAGCACAGGAGCTGGAATTGCCTTGGCTGCGCGCGGATCTCCCCCACGKGGGTGACACCGGCTGCGGACCGGCTGGCATCGCAGCACTGCTCCTGGAGGCCCGTGCCCCCGAGGGGAGGTGAGCGCCCACGGGGGTGTTCAGGCCTGCTCAGGCCGCCTCCAGGCCTTCCAAGACCCCCTTCCCATTTTACTGCTCTCCCTGAAACCAAGCACATGTTGGGCCTTGCCAAGAGCCTCACACCAGCTTAACCATAAACCCTTCACCGGGGCTGTTGAGGCCAGTCTCCCGTTCCATGGTGATGCTGGCACAGCTCCTGGCTCACCCCTCTCCCGTTCCCCATGGCTTCACCTTCCTGGAGCAGGTATCTTGGCGGATGCGTTTCCATCACACTGGCGAGCTGAGCTGGCTTCCCGGTGCCCATCCTGGCTGTAGGGGTGGCACGGAGGTGGCTGGAGCACGTGGAGAAAGGGAGAGCGTCCGTGTGCCAGAGGCGGCCGTGGGACCGAGAGGGCTGCGGTTCCGGAGGGTCCCTATGAGCGAGATCTACCTGGGCTCCTGCTGCTGGCCGAGGGCTCGGGAATGACTGGCCCTCCACCTGGGAGAGGGAGTAAAGGCTCCAGCACTGCGGACATGGGGGCTGCAGCCCTGCTCCCTCACAGGCTGGGAATGGGATTTTCCTCTCAAGCCAGAACTGAACGTGAAGTGCTGCTTTGGACTTTCTGTTGAACTTGGTCTGCACCTGAATTAAAAGMGTTGCTTTCTGGTTGTAATTAAACTAAAACTTGCTATAGAGCATGAGACGACGTCTGTGCAAGTCCTGCAGCAATCCAGCCCCTCTGCCAGTTACCCAAGTGACCTGGAAACTAATGAAAATTGTCAGTCCCAACCTGCTGCCTCGGGCTGAGCTGCAGGGGTCGTGGGCAGAGCCCCGCTCGCTGCCTCCCGTGTAAATCCCCCAGCGTGAGCATGGTGTCCTTGACATTGCCCAGCTGAAGATGCGGGTCCCGCGCCGCTTCCCCTGCCGGCTTTGGCTGCGGTGCCGCGGGACGTTGCAGCGGGCTGCGAATGGGCCGCGTTGCAGCCGGGCGCACGGGGAGCCCGCGGGGGCAGCGGGCGCTGTGCCCTCCGTGTGGGCACCGGGGCAGGGGGCCCTTGCTGGCGTGCCCGTGCTAACTCCTTCCGCCTTTCCTTGCAGACTGCTCTCAGTGCTTTTTTCCAAGAGACGAACATCCCGTACAGCCACCACCATCAGATGGTAAGTGGCCCCGTGCCCTTGGGAGCGGCTGGCGGGCGTCTAGAGCAGCCCCAGAGAGAGGCTGCGGAGGCCCTGAGCATAGGAGGCCTGATCGTGCGGGCTCCGTCCCTGCAGGACGCGTCCCCGTGCGCCCTGTGCGTGTCTCAATGGAAACGCACGGGCACCGCTCGCCCGGCTCTGCCCCTTTAACTCTCGTGCCTGGGCAGCCCGTAATCCGCCCGGGCAGATGTGTCCTGGGGATTTGGCGCCGTCCGCGGCCTCGCTTGACTCCTGGCGGCAATTGGGGATTTGCAGCCCTTGGGGAGCATGCAGAGCAAGCGCCCCACGCACCTGGGCGGCTGAGGCTGCGATGGAYGCGAGGCCGAGCCCACGGCTTGCGCTGCCCTCGGGGCTGCTGAGGGACAGCACCCATGAGGCCAGCGGGCAGAGGGGGTCTGCAGCACGGCCAGGCAAGCAGCAGCCTTGGTGGGAGCTGTCTGCGCCCCGACAAGCTCTCTGCAAAAGATTAGTGCTGTGATTAGGCTTCCGAGCAGTAAATAGCTGCTCCTCGTGGGGTGCAGCATCCTCCGGGCTGGGGA